GGAAGGAGGAACTATAAGCTACTACAGTGTATCATCAGAGGAGCGAAGCCTGATTCATACCTTCAAAGCAAAATTCACAGCAGAGCTTTTCCCAGCCTTCTGGTTTAAGCGAGGCTCTGTAACTTTATGTAACCTATAAACTCCTCAGGGATGGGCAAAAGCTTGAAAGAAGGCATGCAGGGGATAAAATGGAGATTAGATAGAAATCCTAAAGACTGAATTCAGTACCTTATTTATTATACAAACTGACTACAGATCCATTCATTTTCTGGACAAACTGAAACATGTTTAGTAACTTATGGCATTAAGGTTCATTAAGATAAGAATACCTGTCCAAACCGTATTTTCATCTTAATATATCAAAATCTATAAAGTCTCAGAATGCCACAGATTTTTGTCACATTGTGCCCTTAGCGTTGGGGCATACAACATTTGGACCCAAAAAAAATTATACCTAATATCTAAATAATGTCTAATAAAAAAGGGCTGAGGTTGTCATTTAGTCTCTGTTAGGACTAGGGATGCACCGATCCACTTTTTCACCTCCGATACGATACCGATATTTGAAGTTTAATGTCGGCCGATACCGATCCGAAATATTACCTAAAAATTAGTTTTATTGTGTGAAAAAAAACAAAAAAAAACAAACTGGGATCATTCTTCCGTGCATATGATTTGACTTCCCTTTTCTTAAAAAAAGAGGAAACAACCCAAATATAAATGTTATGACTCATTTATTTAACTGTACGCAAAATATCAAAAGTTCTCTGACTTGGTCAACATGTAAAAAAAAGTGTCACAGGTTCAGTCAGGGCAAATTGGAATCTAAAATCCAATTTAAAATTCAATACAATAAAATGAATTATGAAGGAGCTAAAATTGAGAAAATAAAACAGCCATTAGCTTTTTACAATGTTTAGTGCAAATCGAACTTAAACATCCATTATAAAAACATCTGAATAAACCAAAAGATTCTCCAGCTTGGTCAAGTTGGTGGTGTTATAGTTTGAAGGTTTAACATAGCACAGAGTAAGAATGAATAGCTCACCCCTATATCGAGTCAATTGTCACCGATACTGATCTAGTTTTTTTTCTTTATATCTGGACCAATACCGATAAAAATATCGGACCGGTGCATCCCTAGTTAGCACATTAAAAAAGCTAGTGCAACCTAAATTAGACCAAGGCTAGAGTTTCCTCAAGAGGTCCGACTAAGTCTTAAGGTCAGTTTTTAATCTGAAATCAAATCAGCATTAAATTTAGCTGCAGTGTCAAATATTTTACAGCAATACACATGAAAGTAAATCATTCCACAGTTTAGAAACGTACGCTTTCCAAGTCTGTCAAAAAGCTGAACATTATTTACATCAGGTTAGTCTCTGATTTATCAGAAAGAATTATACTTATTGATTTAATTAATTTCATCTGAGAGATGTATTTTACTTATTGTCTAATTAACATGGCTTCCTTCACCCCTGTTTGAAACCATTTACTTATAGTCATTGACAGGGACTAAATACATACTGATTTAAAAACATCTCTAACAGCCTTTTCAAAAGTGTTTTTTTTTCATGCATATATTGTTTTATTTAAGAAGTCATTTTCTTTGATTTTGATATTATTATGAGTGGCTCTGTATACTGTATTTATTTTTAAATTGATTATATTTAAGGCAAGTGGATGGTGTCGTTAATTCATTGCATACATTTTTATTTTAACAAATGTAATTGTTTTTATATTTTTGGATGAAATCAAATGGATAATTTTTTAACAATATTTTTTTTTATTCTGTATTATGATGTAAGTTTAAACAGTAACGAAAACATTTACTTTTACCCTATGGGTTGTAATTTTACCTATTTTACTGAATTTTTTTCTGTATTGTTATTTTATAATTTATTTTGCTCTATTGTA